GTGTCCTTAGGAACTGTGTCTGTATGTGTGTGTGTGTGTGTGTAATTTACTTAGAAATAGATACAGATACTCTTGCTGGGAGCAGACATGCGAATCTAAAGCAGAAGCAAACGCAAAAGCAGACTCTGACACACATGTAAACGCCGCTACTTGAACCCTTGATTGCGGTGGTGACGGTCGCCCATTGTTCGCCTAGGAGCTTGGACTAAAACTTATAATCATAGCATCATCAACAAAATTATCGTTTTGCCACAGCACGGAATGACTGTAAAGGCGGGGCAGTGGGTAAGTGTAAGCTGGCGAGGGGCGAGAGTGAGGGCACGGAGAGAGGCATCGCACAGATACACTCGCCATTTAAGAGCATAAAAGCGAAACGTGCTTGAAATGTGAATTACTCGCACTTACACACACACACGTTCACACACACGCACACACATTCAACTGATGTACTTAAAGTGTTTGAGTATATATATATATATGTGTGTGTGTGTGTGTTGGCGTGTAAGTCGCTTTTTGCTCTTTGGCTCCTTTGACTCATAACTTTAACTATTTTACACGAACGAACGAACATTTACTTTACTTTTTTCCCAGCACGCTTTTCTTTTATTTACTTATTTTAGTGCTTACTTCCGTTCACGTACACAGCCAGCACCCACACCTATCCACACACACACACACATGCCCATCAAAAAGGCGCACCCACAATTTTTTAGCAAATTAACAAGCCAGCCGCAGTCTGCTGCGGTTTTCTGATTAGCAAGATTCCGGTATCTTAAGTTCGCTACAGATTCAAATCACAGGCTAAATGAAAGATTTAATTGTTTTGCTGGCTAGATTTTTACATTTTTTAATGTATTAATGTCTTGTTTATAAATAGTTGGGTTGCATTTTTCATGTGCGGCACACAAACCAAACAAGTTAAGCTGCTTAAGTCGGTTGTGCTCGACTAAGAAATACCGAGTACCTACTCACTCAAAAAATAAAACTAGTGTGCTTATTGTCAAATTGTCATAAAAAATTTCTCACAGTTACAGAAGCGATGGAAACGACTTTAGCTACAAAAATATCTGAACGATACAAAGCATTTGTGGTAAACAAAAGTATCTGCAAGATACACAAGCATAGCTTGAACCATTTTTCAAAATACAATAAAAGGATTTTAACACATTTTACTTTAAATGTGCACAAGTGCAACCGGACTGAATATGTTTATGCAGGATTTTAAAAGAGTTCTTAACCAATCGATGCCAATTATCTATAACAATTACAACAAGTTACGACGAATAATTGCAATCAAATACCGCGGCCATAGCCTCTTATTTCACTGTGTGTAGCCGTGTGTCTGTGTGTGTGTTTGTGTTTGTGTAGCTGTGCGGCCCCAACAATAATTTCGTTAAATTTCAGCACGCACGCCTTGCGAAGGCTGCAAATACTTCAACTGTGGGCGTGTGTGTGTGGGTGAGTGTGGGTGGACGGATGTGGGTGGTTGCCTGCGTATGTTGCTCCCCAGGATTTTCGCAGCCGAAAACCCTTTTGCGCTAATTGCAATTACACAAAATATTGTTTACACACTTGCTCAAGCCGCAACGTTCAATAACATTCGTGGTGGGAGTGTGTGAATGAAAGCGAAGTCGGATGAACAGGAGACGGCATGAAAATGATATGGGGCTGTAGATAATACAGTATAATCAGAGCTTAATTAGTTCAATAATGGCTTATTTTTTATGAAATACGATTTGTTATTTTTCGACTAAACAAACAATTGTGCAAAAACCATATAATATGAGCACTTTATCTGATGCGTCTATATAAAAGTATGTATGTATTCTTGGGACAGACGGAGCTTCTGTAAGATGGGCAAAGCTCACACCCAATATACTCATTTTTACCTTGTGAGCAGGGTATAAAAACATGACCCGGATTAATAGGAGCGAAGTAACTGAGATCTACTTTATCAAACGCTAACAGATTTTGAGTGTATTTATGTAACATATGTATGCATGTGGGAGAGTATGTATCATTGTATGTATGTATTTAGAAATCCTTTGTTATATATGCTTGCATGTATATATGTATATTTGTAAACAAACAATTGGGTTGCAGTAACCCACATGGCTGCATAAATCTCCAAAACCCTGCGTCGCGCTGACAGACAGCGCAATTCTAACTCTCGTTAAGATTCCAGAAGAGGCTTTCATACCATCTCCCCCTCGTGAGGCAATACTATGCGGTCGTTCCGCGAGAGGGAAACGGAGAGTAGGTCGTGGTCGTTTTAGTAGGTGAAAGTCCCACACTTTTCGGCTTTTAATGCTTTCTCCCCATGCTTGTCTTATTGTACCGAACCTTGATCAAGTTTACTTTCCGCTGCATTGAAAATTTAAAAAAACGCATTTTTAACGGTGCCCTACTACTCGATTCTCATAAATTCAAGTAGGGCTCACAGGTTTCTATGACTTTTTAGTTAGTGCTCTTTTGTGTGAGTTGTGCTTGTGTCGTGTATGTGGGTATGTGTGTTGTATGTGGGTGTGTGTTGTGTTTGTCGTGTGTGTTGTGTGTTTGTGTGGTTACGAATCAGAGTCGTAAACCGAATGACTGATTGCTCACCACTCTACCTAAGATTTATTTCGCAACTCAACGTTGAGCATGTTTTTATTGGCAGCTGATTTCTTGTCACAATTCTCAAAGAATTGTTCAAACTTCAAAGCACAGATTTTCCAACTTATTGTAGGCAGTCGTTCAATACACACAAAACATATTTCCATATTTGTGTGTTGTCTTTCGTAAGCAACTAGGTAAATGGCCTTGAGATATGTGACTACATACATACACATGTGCATATATTCTCAAATGCTTGCATATTCAACTGTTATTTGTACAATCAGCTCGTGCCGCCCTCCGTTCCCGACCGATATCCAACATTCATCGATAAGCTTTTCTCGGCTTTTAGTTTTCACAGTCATATACCCAAACCAACAGCAACAGCAACAACAACAACAGCAACAGGAACAGAATGCAATAAAGCAAACATCAAAGCGGGCATGAATTTCAAATGGACTCAAAATTTATGCAAAGCCGAGTGAGAAATAAAAAGGCATGTCCCAATTGCCATCAGGGGGATATGGAAATATGAAGATATGGAAGGATAAGTGGGACATAGATATGGGATCAAGCATCATAATTTTAATGCCAGGAGTCGGACGAAGCGAGTCTAGCTAAAAAACATAAATAAATAAAAATTGGCATGCAAATTAGATATTTATATAATTTTTGTCTACCCTATTTATATTTTGACTGCCATAAATTTCCATAAATGCGTAAAGGTAATCAGCAAACGAGTTGATAAAGTTGATTAAATGCAAACTGCCCAGAAACTTCAATCAATGGGCAACTTGCCCAATTCGTAGCTGCTCTCTCCTGCATCTCCCTCTCTCTCTCTATCTCTGTTTATCTCTTAGGAGTGTTCATGTGCCGAGTCCCACAAAACAGATTGAAAAACTTCAACAGAACACAAACACGAAAGCGAAAAAGCAAACCACACCACATGGACGGACTGCATTTGAGGTGGACGGAGTTCGGAGTGGGATCGAATTCAGGGATGGCAAACGATTTCTTAAGTAACCAAGAAATATATATATACCTTTATTTTAAATAATTTTGTTAATATCTAATTTAGTGTAATGCAAGGAGAAGAAACGAGATCCCAGTTTTAAAGCAAAATGAACGGGAGGTATCCAAATTGTATAGTTATAATAGTATATATATATATATATATATATATATATATATATTATAATAGTATATACTTATAAATAGTATGAAAACGAATATAGCAATCGATAAATATCGTTCTACCATTCTATATACTGGATCTGTATATACTTTGCGGTATACATACATATGCTCGTATAATTTCTGAGCTTAACATAATATTCTTGCTTATGGATTTAATTGAGAATATATATTTTAAATTTAAGCTCCTATCTCTATAGTTTCTGGTATCGATGTGTTCAAACAGAACCATAGGCAGACGGACAGATGAAAAGACGAACACGATTGGATTCACGAAGTCGGACAACTTTCTTCTACCTGTAACAAACTAGTATAAAATATAATTAAAGACGAGCATAATTCTTAATAACTTTTGTTTAAAGTTTTATTTCGAGAGTATTAAGTTGATTTATTTTGTGAATGCGAACTGAGAACGAAATGCTAATAGTAAAATAAAATAAACGTGACTGACAATAAATATGACACACATAAAAATATTTATTTTAAATATTTAAAATATTATAGTACTGTACTATAGCTTCATAAAAAAAATACCTTCAATGCTAATTAGTTGATCAAAAAACTCAAGCACCTTATTGTCCATTGCAGACATATTTATGAAGAGTTTGGCAGTATAAGTGATAATTTTATGTTAAATCCGAACACGTGAGACATTCTCAATTTTCACACTTGAGTTAATACAATCTTTTTCATTAGAATTGAGAACCCCAACTCTGAGTCGTTACGCAGCCTTATGTAAATACTGTATTCTTACTCGGTTTTTATTTTTAGGCTCGCTTCCAACCCTAGTCAAGTGGCACGGGCTGTGGCAGTTGCCGAGTCGAGTCGAGTCGAGAGCAAAGCCAGACCTATGTCGAGGGTCAAGCAAATACGAATTCAAAATGCTCAGCGCTGAACAACATATTGCAAAAGTTATGAGCCGGAAATTAAACGGATGCTGACAATATTCACTGGTCCGGCTGATGGGGCGCATACATATCGTGGACGTGAACGAGAACCAAAACGTGGACGGGAACGTGAACGTGATGCGTACGTGACGATGGTAGCCAAAGCCCGTTCAGGCCCAATTAGCTGGCAGCGCAGCAACTGAAACAATAATAACTGAATCTCAGTTTATCGGCAACTGTTTTGCTGTCGCTCGTCAATTGCTATTGTTGGATAAAAGCAGTGCGATGCATTTATGCTTAGCTAAACGGCCGGCAGTAGCCGTATGCCGAGCATGGCCGAGGAAAAGCACCGCATGCTCTACCAGGGCCAAGACCCCAGCCAGCCGGTGTTGCGTCCCCTTCCAATAATAGCCCACGTCAGCAACAGCAGCAGCGATAGAGATGCAAGCGTCGATGCTGCAACTGAGCCGCAACAGCCTCCGACCTACGATGACGCCATGGGCACTACGACTAGTCTGCGCGTCTCAAAAACTAAAAACCACGCTCCCAGCCATACGAGCTCCACGTTGCGGGCGACATGCGATGGGGAAGGGCGTCGTAGGACCTTCTTTGCCGAGCCGCTGCATCTGCGCACCCAACTGGATGAGCCGCATCCGCTAGAGGCACAGCCTGCACAGCCGCTGTCAGCTGAGCGCCCCGCCGTTGAGCCACAAGCGGCGCCCGCGGACAATGCAAATGTGCAGGCCATGCCACAGCAGCAGCAGCAACAGCAGCAGCAATCGGTGCTGGTGGAACGCGTCCGCATGCCGCAGGTGCGCAGTAAGTAGCATGGCCCGAGTTCCATTTATGAGGGGGGGATTTCATCTGATCTGCTGGCGTTTGGCAGGCTTCTTTGCACTGGCGCCACAGCCGAAACTGGGTGCCAAGGCCTGTGCGATGGTCTGCCCCGCCTGTGGCCAACAGGGACGCACTAGGCTAAGGCGCATGCCAAACACACGCACCCATTGCTGGGCGCTCTGGCTCTGTTCCATTGGGTGAGTGAGATGAGACCCTCGGAAGTGGTTGTGTGCGTGTGTGTGTATGTTCGTATTTGTCATAGCTTAACAATTTGCTGAATGGTATACCAGGTGGTGCTGCTGCGCCTGTCTGTATCCGTATCTGATGAATAGCTGCCGCACCACGAGCCACTACTGCACCATATGCAAGACGTTTCTGGGCGCCCACTATCCCAAGGATTGCTGCCACTGAGCCGCTGCCATTGCTCGCGTTCTAGCTTTACAAACTTACCTTTTGTAAATTTCGATTCTTGAGAGTTTGTTTCGAGCAACACAAAACGAAAATAAGTTTACAATATCCTAACGTTTGTAAAAGATTTTTCTTACCTTGAGCAAAATAATATTTGATATTCTTTTAGTTCGTAAATAAATAAAAAAACAGGCATCAACAACATTTCTTAAAACATGTCACGTAATTTCCAACAACTGTTTTGCTAGTTATTTTTTAAATATTATATTACTATTAAAAAATTGCGAGCAATTTATATTTTGAAAACCGTAAAACACTTTTTAATATTATGAAAATATGTGATTTCTCCTTAAAAATAATGTGTTTTAAAACGTTACGCATCTATGCGATTCTCAAGAATTCAAGTAGGGCTCACAGGCTGAGTGCTTTATTTACATGTAAAAATGTGTATGTTTTTAAATGTATGTGCTTATATGCGTATGTATGTATGTGTGTGTATGCATATGTATAAACATACATATGTAAAACTACGCACAGATAGAGTTTACTTTCGACTGCACATTAAAAATAACGCATTATTCATGAATATTAATATTTTTTCATGAATTCAAAGAAGGCTCACAGCATTTCATGTATTACTAATAATTGCAGATGCAGAATCGCATGCTCGAGCTCCTCATCGCGCTTCTCTCAAAATGAGCACCATCAGGGTTCTGTACTGGAACGCGGACGGCGTTCCAGCCAAAATCCACGAGTTGCAACTCTACATACAGCTTCAAAAGGTAAACATCGCATTCTTAAGCAAAGCGCACATGCGAGATCTGGAGACTCCTCGCGTTCCTGATTACTCCTCCTACCCAGCAAACCCCGCCCAACGACGTTGGTGTGACGCCGCAATACTCATCTGCAGTGGTATCTCGCACTTGCCCACCGCCCCTCAACGCGAAGCCGACCTGCAATTGGCCTCTGCAATAGTTTCAACGGCTGCTGGAGACGTCGAGCTTGGGGCCATATACTGCCAGCCCGGCCTCAGATGGACTGCCAACGAGCTATGTCAGCGTTTCAGCACCCTTGATCCAAAATGCTTATTGGGCGGTGATTGGAACGCACACCACCAGCTTTGGGGTGCGAGCCGCAGCAACGCCAGGGGACGTGGGCTCACCGAATTTAACCATGACGCTCGACTTGAATGTTTAGCCATTGGCAGCCCCACGAGGTTCCCACCCCAGGCGGGTCTCAGACCCTCTTGTCTCGATTTTGCAATAGACAAGGGTCTCCCACACTGGAGGCTCAGAATTAAAGCTCGCCCTGACCTGAGCTCCGATCACTTGCCACTGATGATATCAATCATCACCGCTGTCAGATACTACCAAAGGCTGGAAAGGATCATCGACAGGCAAACCAATATCAATGTCTTCCGCCGCAAGCTTAACGATACCATCTACCCAGACATGGATATAGCATCCGCAGAGGATATCGATAAGGCGAACTGGCTCAGAAAAGCTGGCGAATTGCATCGAGAGCTACAAGCGCAACGGGCTAGTCACTTTGACAACATGCTGATAAACATGTCGTCCCAACATAACGCGGAATTCTCTCTGCGGAAGGCGACACGCGGCACAAAACGCCAAACTCGGAGGCAGGCTCCCCTCAAAAGAAGTAACGGCTCCTGGTGCCGCTCGGACGCAGAGCAGGCTGCCACCATTGCTGGCCACCTCAAGGAGCGTTTCACGCTTTTCAGCATTGCCACTGAAGCTGAGATTGCTGAGACCAGAGTATCCTCAGTAACAGAGCCTGACTCCCCCCAACTTAATTTACCAAAGAGGATGTTAAAAGTGTGCTCCAACGCCTAAAGCCAAATAAATCCCCAGGATACGACTTAGTGTGCAATCGTACATAAAAAGCGCTGGTCTTAATCTCCGCCATAATGAGGGTGAAATACTTTCTGGAAGCGTGGAAAATTTCCATCTTGAGTATGATTCACAAGCCTGGCAAGCCGGAGGACGACCCCGAGTCATTTTGACCGATATGCACTGCCTGCACTATCTAAGGTCTGGGAAATACTTGTCGCCGCAAGACTTATGGCCATTGCTGAGCCACGGCGGCTGAGTCCAGGCCAGTTACACAGGGCTGTCAACCACGTTCTGGAGGCATTTTACAAAAATTGAACTGCTAAGTGGCCTTTGTCGACGTCAGTCAGGCATTTGACCGTATTGGGCACCTAGGGCTGCTGGCAAAACTGAAACGCGGTCTGCCCTCGCCCTAATTCAACCTGATCCCATCCTGCTTGAAGGGTCGTTCTTTCCAGGTGAAAGTAAGGGCGGAGCAGTCCTTCCTGCAATTCTTTCAAACCAAGGCTCTCCGCCGGATGGCAGGAGCACCATATTACGTGCGCAAGAGCGTCCTGCACAGAGATCTTAAGATCCCCTGGGTCGAAGGCTAGCGACACACGCCAATAGGCTCGCATTCTTCAAGGTGCCCGTCCCATCAGGAGATTAAGGAGAAGAACTCTTACCCAGATACTCCACCCCCAACTCCGTCCACCTATCCCGAAGGCGACGCGGCCAAAGAACTAATAATTGTGTATGTATATGTATATATATATATATATATATGTTTGTTCATGTATGTATGTGTGTAGGTATGAATGTTTGTATGTATGTATCTACTTATGTATATATGTATTTATGTAAATACGTATGTATATATGTAAATAAAAATTTGTGTATGTACGTACGTGTGTATGTGCCTATGTATGTATGTGTGTATGCACATATGTGTTTTATTGTACCAAACGCAAAGCAAGCATACTTCCCGCTGTAGCGCAAATTAAAAATAAAGGATTTTTAACGATGCCCTACTACTCGATTCTCATAAATTCAAGTAAGGCTCACAGGTTTCCATAATTTTTAGTAATTGTTCTATTAAAATGTTCTGGTGTCAATCTAATAAAGTTATTGTGTGTATGTATGCATGTATGTATGTATGCATATATGCATGTATATATGTGTGCATGTATGTTTGTATGTATGTATGCATGTATGTATGCATGTATATATGTAAATATGTATGTCTGTACTTATGAATGTATGTATTTATATGGGTATGCAGGATTGTATGTACGTAGTGTATGTGTGGATATGTGCTTGTGCGTCCGTATATATATATACATATACATATATACATACATATGCATGCATGTTCATTAACCAAAAGCAATTTTTTTTTATGTATATATTTTGTGCTTCGAAATTTGGTATCCTCTTACTCTATGTTAGCAACTTTTTTACAATTAGTTTGACAGATTAGACATATATACAACGAAACATATTTAGAGGTATTTAATGCAGTGTGACCTATATATATCGATCGACTAAGTCAGTTGGGTGGGTCCTCGTCAGTCGCCTTCTACTTCGCCTCCTAAACCAAAAGCAAATTAGTTTAGTTTCGAGCACGGTAAATTAAAAATAACATTTTTAATTACTGTCCCACTACGCGAATGTCATGAATTCAAGTAAGTCTTCCAGCTTGTCATGCTTTGCAGTCATATAAATTTAATCTCATGCACTCTATGTCTCTATATTCTTCTTTCTCTTGCTTTGACACAAATCTAATTTCTACTTATTTTCTTCTTTCAGTGATGTGTAATGTAAAGGATGGCACTAAAATTATCGTGCATATGCATGTAAACTTTTGGGTGAGTACAGATTACCATAATATATTGTACGTATATATATATATATATATATAGACATAGTTATAAAGCAAAATTAAAAAATATCCCCGTGTCCCTGTTGCCTTTGTTGTCACTTTGTCTACAGTGACTGGGCATTGTGTGAGATGACTTACACAAGCTGCTTACCATTACTGTCATTCACGCCCTTAAAAGTGCACTACAATCCGATGATTACAAGGAGTGGCCCACAAAAGCGGTCCAGAGCTGGGATGTGCGATTCGCTTATTGAAACTAATAGGGGTCGAAATTTGTTGCCGCCCCCTTTAAAATCGTCTGGCTGTAAATTGAATTTGGCAGGAAGTGAAGTGCTCAACGCGTTTTTCTCATCCTTCACTGCTGCCATGTCAAACAATGCATAGCTTGCCTAAACAAATTGCCTAATCAGCGCTACGGGACCGAGTCAATTATGTGAGTGGCACTTCCATTGTACACTGTCGAGTTGGACGATGTTGCAAAGTTTTTGCGCTGGCAAATGCACTTAATGCCCCATTGCAAACAAACCCACTCGGCTCCCCTACAGACGATCCTTTTCGCATTGAAAAGGCATTCGCTTGCACGTCCAATTAGCTGGGCTCCATTTACAGCTACTCAATCAAGGACAACCAGTTATTGGGCAACAATTCATATCCGCCTCCAACACTCGCTTCCGGCTGGCAATGCAATTGCCAAAAAAAAGAATAAAAAAACGAAAAAAAATACAGTCCATTAGCTCACCGAGTGCCATAGCATATAATTAGAGCTTTAAGCGCATTATGGTTGACCTAACAGTCAGGCCTGGTATCATGATTATGGCATGAGCTGCCGATGAAGGCAATCGCAGCAAGAATACGCAACGCTTCATATAAGAACTGTATCTGAAAGCGGACCGCAACGGGGACTTCATCATCATAATAATAATATATAATGCGATAACAATGAAAACGAGCTGCCATCAACACGACAAGCAACAACAACATCGATAACAAAAAAAAAACAAGAGCAGAAACAAAAACAATCGACTGCAACAAAAGCTCACGAGCTGCGTTTCAACGTGCGGCAAATAAGTTGGCAACTTTAATTAGATTAACTTGCTGGGCGCACATAAATATCAATAGTACTTCAAGCGAGAGGCTCAACAACCAATATTGTTGTTGTCGCTGCTGCTGCGGTTGTTGTTGTAGTTGTCGCTAACAAGCTGCCACACAGATGCGCATACAAATAGGTTGTCACGTCGCATAACTAAGCTAAACATTTGGCCATGCCAAAAAATAACACAAATATGCTGGCATCTTGCTGTTAGTGGGTGCCACAAACTTAAGAATAGCCTGCACCCATTAAATATGTAGTACAGAATCAGTTATAATTGACATGTGCATGTTTAATGAGAACCAATTTTAAAATGCCTTTCTTCTAACAAATCCGACATACGAGATCTACATAGACAATGATACCCTGTGGACACTAGTGTTAAAAAATGCGGCATAATTTGGGAGACTGCACGTAA